AGTACTACTACACTAGTAGTAGCTAGTACTACTACTACACGTGTAGTAGTGTAGTAGCTAGTACTACTACTACTAGTAGCTACAGTAGTAGTAGCAGTAGTAGTAGCTTCAAGGGCCCCGCGCTAAATGCTTTCAAGCTATCAATCCCGGTTTAGTGATTCTGCACTTGCTCTATTACTATAGTACTATACCGCCTTCAACTTTTACGAACGACTGGGTGTTTAAGGTTAGGGATTTGTCGTATTATCTGGCTGTGTAGCAAATGAAAAATACAATTACTTTACTGTACAAGTAAACAAGAAAAAAATGTGTTTTAATATGTACGTGTTTTTTTTTAATTTAGGGCCCCTTTATAACATTTGCTACAGGCCCCGCACTGGATCGCCTGGTGGACTCTCATGGGGGAGGGGGAGGGGAGAGAGCGCCACGCTCCTGGGCAAGCGACTGACGATGCTGACGACGATGACGATGATGGTAGTAGTGGTGGTGATGGTGGTGGTGGCTCCACTCCTAGGGCGTCATCGGGGTCTTGTGGCGTCACGTTCGCCCTCCGTTTGAAAACCATCCACCCGCGGATCGGGGCGCGCGGGTGGTTTGGAGGACGAAGGCGCAGAGTCGCGGCCCCGGGTGTGATCTGCAGACAACTCTCCAGCGCAGTGGCCTTCGTTGTGAAGGCCCGCGCGGTCCACTGGTGGACTCCTCGTGGCCTTTAGTGCGGCGCCCCGCCGATACACAAAAGCGAACACACCACCCCATCATCATCGTCGTCGTCGTCATCATCGTCATCATCATCGTCATCATCGTCGTCATCGTCATCATCGTCGTCATCGTCATCATCATCGTCGTCATCATCGTCGTCATCATCATCATCGTGGTCATCATCGTCATCGTCATCATCGTCGTCATCATCATCATCGTCATCATCGTCGTCATCATCATCATCATCGTCGTCATCATCATCATCGTCGTCATCATCGTCATCATCATCGTCGTCGTCATCATCGTCATCATCGTCGTCGTCGTCGTCATCATCATCATCATCGTCGTCATCGTCATCATCATCATCGTCATCATCATCATCGTCGTCATCATCATCATCATCGTCGTCATCATCATCATCGTCGTCATCATCGTCATCATCATCGTCATCATCATCATCGTCGTCATCGTCGTCGTCGTCATCATCATCATCATCGTCGTCATCGTCATCATCATCATCATCGTGGCGCCGCTGTCAAACCCCCAATGGTTACAAAAATGTGTGGCGGCTCTCACACTGATTGATCGGCGAAAGCGTCCCTCCTCCACCTCCTCCACCTCCTCCACCTCCTCCTCCTTCACCTCCTCCACCACCTCCCCCGGGAATGTGTGCTGCAGCGTGACCTTGTTCAGAGGGTTTAACAAAGCTCAGTGCGTGGGGTGGTGGAGGAGCGGCACGACACACTGTTAAACAAACTTTCGTCACGGATGTCAAACGCCGAACGCAGCGAGTCTAATCAATAGGATCTGCTTCTGTCGATCGTGCGTCCGGCTCTCGATGAAAGGTTGCGTGTCTCGTACCAAACGTTGTTTGCCCTGGGTATAAGAACGTCGAATGCGGTAAACTAATCCTTCAGCAGGGCGGGGTGGGCGGGGGGGGGCCTCAGCCCCCATTCCCAACCCCCACCCCTCTCCCCCGATGCGGGTAATAAGAAAACAGGAGAGGGGAGTCACGCTGCATCGACTGGGAGATATTGGGGTTTTTTTTACATGGGGCGCCACGGTGGCTATGAGATGTTAACTATCTCGCCTGGTGTACAGGAGGTCGTGGGTTCGATCCCGACCCTGACGCCTGCTGCTGTATATTTGGAGTTTGCGTGTCTCTCTCTCATCATCATCACGGTGGCTAGGAGATGTTAACTACCTCGCCCGGGGTACAGGAGGTCGTGGGTTTGATCCCGACCCTGACGCCTGCTGCTGTATATTTGGAGTTTGCGTGTCTCTCTCTCATCATCATCACGGTGGCTAGGAGATGTTAACTACCTCGCCCGGGGTACAGGAGGTCGTGGGTTTGATCCCGACCCTGACGCCTGCTGCTGTATATTTGGAGTTTGCGTGTCTCTCTCTCATCATCATCACGGTGGCTAGGAGATGTTAACTACCTCGCCTGGTGTACAGGAGGTCGTGGGTTCGATCCCGACCCTGACGCCTGCTGCTGTATATTTGGAGTTTGCGTGTCTCTCTCTCATCATCATCACGGTGGCTAGGAGATGTTAACTACCTCGCCCGGGGTACAGGAGGTCGTGGGTTTGATCCCGACCCTGACGCCTGCTGCTGTATATTTGGAGTTTGCGTGTCTCTCTCTCATCATCATCACGGTGGCTAGGAGATGTTAACTACCTCGCCCGGGGTACAGGAGGTCGTGGGTTTGATCCCGACCCTGACGCCTGCTGCTGTATATTTGGAGTTTGCGTGTCTCTCTCTCATCATCATCACGGTGGCTAGGAGATGTTAACTACCTCGCCTGGTGTACAGGAGGTCGTGGGTTCGATCCCGACCCTGACGCCTGCTGCTGTATATTTGGAATTTGCGTGTCTCTCTCATCATCATTACGGTGGCTAGGAGATGTTAACTACCTCGCCTGGTATACAAAGGCGGCCGGGCGTGGTGAATCCAAGTCCCGGGCGAAGCCGGGTAGTCAAGCTAGTAACGCCATGTTAGAGTAGTGCGATCCGTTACACCATGCACCGAATTGTGTGACGCACGCATTTTGCCCTATGATGATGCTCGCACAAATGTCTGCCAAGTTTACATTTTTTTGCAGTGGGGGGGGGCGATGGTTGCGACGCGAATTCACGTAAAAATGTGGACAAATGTGTATACTGTGGGCGCGTGCCAGACGGAATGAGATCAGCAATGCGAGTTCAACCCCCGATGATGGCTTGGAGAGCTGAATGGAGTAAAAATAAAGAAGACACAGCTTGTCGCGAAAGAGCCCAACGCAGAAGATCCCTGGCTTTCATCTTCCACGAAGCCGCTGCTCACGGTCCACCCCTAAACCGCATCCACTGCACGAACAAACTGTAGCAGATGCGGCTACCTGATCCACAGGTGGGAAATTAATACACAAAAAAACCTCTCAAAGTACGCAATGCCCTGATAATACGAAGGAGATGATCACTGCGGTGGTACAACTCTGCTGCTCCTCGCGCGGTGACCTGCTGGCTAGACCACGTGGATGCGAAATTGTAGTCGTGGCTCTGCATCGACATCAGCAGCCCATGGGACAATAAGACGCTCACGATGTTCTGTCTCCTCTTGAAACCGACATGAATGGGATGTTGAGCGGCCAGCTCTTTGGCAGGCGGCGGCATCGTCGTCGTATTATCGTGGTCATTAACACCCAGAGTCGGGATCGGAAGCCTTTATTTAGTCTGGAGCAATCATCAGGGCGGCCGCTTGATTCGAACCGTGCACCTCTGCAACAAGGCCATGCGTGCACCCGCTTGCTGTGCTGTGAATAGAAAACAGCGCACGTGAGCGCACTGCACACACCGGATAGTGCCTACACTGCAGTATACGCTGTGTACACGAGTGTGAGTATACACACACTATACGCTGTGTACACGAGTGTGAGTACACACACTATACACTGTGTACACGAGTGTGAGTACACACAATATACACTGTGTTCACTAGTGTGTGTACACACTATACACTGTGTACACTAGTGTGTGTACACACACTCTATACACTGTGTACACTATTGTGAGTACACACACTATACGCTGTGTACACGAGTGTGAGTACACACACAATATACACTGTGTACACTAGTGTGTGCACACACACACTATACACTGTGTACACGAGTGTGAGTACACACACACTATACACTGTGTACACGAGTGTGAGTACACACACAATATACACTGTGTACACTAGTGTGTGTACACACACACTATACACTGTGTACACGAGTGTGAGTACACACACACTATACGCTGTGTACACGAGTGTGAGTACACACACACTATACACTGTGTACACGAGTGTGAGTACACACACTATACACTGTGTACACGAGTGTGAGTACACACACTATACACTGTGTACACTAGTGTGTGTACACACACACTAGTGTACACACACTATACACTGTGTATAGTGTGTGTACACACACTATACACTGTGTACACTAGTGTGTGTACACACACTATACACTGTGTACACTATTGTGAGTATACACACACTATATACTGTGTATATATACAGTGTACACACACAATGTGTGTACACTATAGTGTACACACAGTGTGTACACACACACTATAGTGTACACACACACATTGTGTGTGTACACTATTGTGTGTGTGTGTACACACTGTGTACACACACACACAATGTGTGTACACAGTGTGTACACTGTTACGACCACGTGTGTAATGCTGCAGTAAAGTGTCGCTCATGGGGCTGTGACGCGGTGGGAGGGGCCCGGTGTCGGGAGGGGGTGGAGCTGCCTGTTACCATGGTGACCGCTACCCCCCTCCCACTCCGGGCGTGCCCCTCCCCTCGGAGCCCCGCCCCTCGCCCTGCTGTGGAAGGTTGAGGGCGGGCGTGGGGGGGGGGTGATGGTGCGGGGTGGGGGTGAGGGGGGGACAGAGAGCGCGCGTGCGCTCGCGGGGATCAACACGGAGAGGGGGGAGGGGTGGGGGGTGAGGGGAGGGGGGAGGGGTGGGGGGAGTGAGGGGTAGGGGGTGAGGGGAGGGGTGGGGGGTGAGGGGAGGGGTGGGGGGTGAGGGGAGGGGGGAGGGGTGGGGGGTGAGGGGAGGGGTGGGGGGTGAGGGGAGGGGTGGGGGGTGAGGGGAGGGGTGGGGGTGAGGGGAGGGGTGGGGGGTGAGGGGAGGGGTGGGGGGTGAGGGGAGGGGTGGGGGGTGAGGGGGAGGGGTGGGGGGTGAGGGGAGGGGTGGGGGGTGAGGGGAGGGGTGGGGGGTGAGGGGAGGGGTGGGGGGTGACGGAGCCCGCGCGCCCTCTCAGCGTGTGCCAGGGAGACGCGGGCGAGCGAGCGGGCGGCATCACCCACGCGGCGGCACCATCCACGCGGCATCATCCACGCGGCGACAGCGCACGCGAGGGGCGATAAGAGACGCAGCAGCAGCGGCGGCGGCGGCGGCGAGAGAAGGACGAGGAGGAGGGGGGACGAGGAGGGAGGAGGAGGAGGGAGGAGGCGGCGGTTGCGAGGGATCACAGCAGCCGCTGCCGCGATGTCGCCGCGCTGATCGCGGGAGAAGATGGACGCGTCTCTGCGCTGCGAGCCCGGTGAGGGAGCGTGGTGTGGGTGGTGTGGTGAGGGTGGTGTGGTGAGGGAGCGTGGTGTCGGTGGTGAGGGTGGTGTGGTGAGGGAGGGTGGCGAGGGTGGGTGGTGGTGGTGGTGGTGAGGGTGGTGTGGTGAGGGAGCGTGGTGAGGGATGGGACGGAGTGGGGGTGTTATGATGAGGGGCGGTGGTGTTGGGGGTGCATGGTGAGGGACGGGGTGAGGTGGGCATCAGAGGGGGGGGGGCAATGGTGATGGAAGGGGGGCCATGGGAAGGGGTGAGGGCCCATGGTGATGGGCCCCATGGTGATGGAGCGGCCCCCCCCTCTCCGTACACGTGCCCTCTGACACAACGTGTACACAGCAGTGTGTGTGTACGTGCGCATACACGGCGTGTAATACGGCGTACAAAGACACAGATCCCCCCTCTAGCCTTCATTGACTGTTGGGGCAAGGGCTGTTAGCGAGCACCTTTTTAAGGCCGGCACGGTACACGAACGGGCGAGTGGCCAACACTACGCCCGACCGCCTTTGGCTCCCCTAGTCCTGATGTTGTATACACACCGCACCACGGTTGAATATTCGCTGCCAGCCTGCCACCGATGTTGTTGGCCGTGAGCGGGAATCGCAACTCTCTGGTCTCTTGCCAGGATCCGTAACGCAGTGCGCTAACCACTGCGCCACCGCTCCCCCAGTGCGCTAACCACTGCGCCACCGCTCCCCCAGCGTACGTGTAAACCACGCGTGTTTTGCACCACGCACCGTGATACACGGCGCACGGCGTGTTCATTATGCGCGTGTGCACACAGTCGACACCGCGCGTGTGTAAACACGTGTGTGTCTGTGCGTAAACACGTGTGTCTGTGTGTGTAAACACGTGTGTGTCTGTGCGTAAACACGTGTGTGTCTGTGCGTAAACACGTGTGTGTCTGTGTGTAAACACGTGTGTGTCTGTAAACACGTGTGTGTGTAAATACGTGTGTCTGTGTGTAAACACGTGTGTGTCTGTGTGTAAACACGTGTGTGTCTGTGTGTGTAAACACGTGTGTGTCTGTGTGTGTAAACACGTGTGTGTGTAAACACGTGTGTGTCTGTGTGTAAACACGTGTGTGTCTGTGTGTGTAAACACGTGTGTGTCTGTGCGTAAACACGTGTGTCTGTGTGTGTAAACACGTGTGTGTCTGTGCGTAAACACGTGTGTCTGTGTGTGTAAACACGTGTGTGTAAACACGTGTGTATGTAAACACGTGTGTGTCTGTGTGTAAACACGTGTGTGTCTGTGTGTAAATACGTATGTGTCTGTAAACACGTGTGTGTCTGTGTGTAAACACGTGTGTCTGTGCGTAAACACGTGTGTGTGTAAACACGTGTGTGTGTAAACACGTGTGTGTAAATACGTGTGTGTCTGTGTGTAAATACGTGTGTGTGTGTGTAAACACGTGTCTGTGTAAACACGTGTATGTGTGTAAACACGTGTGTGTCTGTGTGTAAATACGTGTATGTCTGTGTGTAAACACGTGTGTGTCTGTGTGTGTAAACACGTGTGTGTGTGTAAACACGTGTGTGTCTGTGTGTAAACACGTGTGTGTGTAAATACGTGTGTGTAAACACGTGTGTAAACACGTGTGTGTCTGTGTGTAAACACGTGTGTGTCTGTGTGTGTAAACACGTGTGTGTCTGTGTGTAAACACGTGTGTCTGTGTGTAAACACGTGTGTGTCTGTAAACACGTGTGTGTCTGTGTGTAAACACGTGTCTGTGTGTAAACACGTGTGTGTCTGTGTGTAAACACGTGTGTGTCTGTGTGTAAACACCTGTGTGTCTGTGTGTAAACACGTGTGTGTGTGTGTAAACACGGGTCTGTGTGTAAACACGTGTGTGTCTGTGTGTAAACACGTGTCTGTGTGTAAACACGTGTGTGTCTGTGTGTAAACACGTGTGTGTCTGTGTAAACACGTGTGTGTCTGTGTGTAAACACGTGTGTGTGTAAACACGTGTGTGTCTGTGTGTAAACACGTGTGTGTCTGTGTGTAAACACGTGTGTGTCTGTGTGTAAACACGTGTCTGTGTGTCTGTGGGGGAGCCGTAGTGTAGTGGTTAGCGCACTGCGCTACGAACCCGGCTAATCCGGGTTCGATTCCCGCTCGCGGCCAACACCGGTGACGATTATCTGAACCGGTCCTGGGCCTCCCCTAGGTCGACTCCGCCTCAAATGAGTACCTGTGCGGTGTGTAAGCATCGCCACTAGGGAGACAAAGGCGGTCGGGCGTGGTGCTGTCCACTCACCCCCTCGTGTGCCGTGCCGGTGTTCATAGGTGCTCGCAAACAGCACTTGCCCCTACAGTCTGTTAAGGCTACACGGGGGATCTTTGCCTTTGTTTGCACAGCGGGGAGGGGTAGCGTGGTGGTTAGCACGCTGCTCTTATTAACTCTTATTGTCACGATTATCCTCACCGGTCCTGGGCCACCCCCTAGGTCGGCTCAGCCTCAAATGACCACCCTGTCGCGGTGTGTAAACACCGCCGCTAAGAGAGACAAAGGCGGCCGGGCGTGGTGTTCCGTGCCGGCCTTCGTAGGTGCTGACTCGCTCACAGCACTCATCAGTCTGTTCAGGCGACACGGGGGTGGGGTTGGGAAAGAGATCTTTGTGCTCATTGTGTGCACAGTCGACGGCACACGCGCAAACAATGACAAAGATCCCCCGTGTAGCCTGTAGCAGACTGTAGGGGCAAGTGCTGTTAGCGAGCACCTATGAAGGCCGACACGGCACGCGATGGGGATGGGTGGCCAACACCACGCCCGGCCGTCTTTGTCACCCCAGCGCACCAGGTACTCGTTTTGAGGCTGAGTCGACCTAGGGGAGGCCCAGGACCGGTTCAGATAATCGCCGTCACCCGTGTTGGCCGTGAGCAGGAATCGAACCCGGGTCGCCAGGTCCGTAGCGCAGCGTAGCGCTAACCGCTGCACCACCGCTCCCCACACACAATAACAACAACCACCGCCATTCGCCACTGTGGCGGTGACGTCACCACGGCGCTTGTGCCAGGCTAGGTGCACGTTGAGGCCACGTGAATTGTCGAACGCCCGCCGGCAGGAGGTCACGTGGGGGGCAGACCCGGCAGGTGCCACGGGTCCACTGACTGAGACGAGTGGCTGATGCGACACCAGTGCCCCCCTGCTGTGCCAACTTGCCGCGCTTTATCCGCCCGGCGTTGTTGTGAGCGTCGCTCCTCTGCCCTGCCAACGATTCAATCGCGCGATCTCGGAAGCTCAGCAAGTTGTGGGGGGCTTTTGAGCCTGGCGAGCAACTCCCCTTCCCCCCCCCCCTCTCTCTAATATAGTGCCCCATCAGTGCGGTACAGAAGGTGCTGAACTCATGTTGTTGGCAGCGGGTGATATTGCAGCCACGTCCATTGTTGTACCGCACTATGTATGCCCCTCGGCTTCACCAAACCCGCACTGACCAGCGCGGTGAAGTATGGTCAAATGACCCCCCCCCCCCACCACCACCATGCCCACTCCCCCTGCGACGTGCGGTGCATTGTTGGCATAAGGGCTGCAACACACAGTACGCGTCGTGCGTGTACTTCGTATGCCACGTGCACGGACTTTGAATGCATATGCAGACTACAAACAGTTCGGTATGACATGTATCATGTGACATGCGTGTACATGACATCGTCGCAGTAAAATATGCCAACGTGGGGCCAACGTGATGGTGCATACACAGTGTATTCTATTGCACACGTGTACGGTACAATGTTGCACGTACTGCAGTATACTACAACACACGTGTGCTGTACACGCTACACGTATACTACATACGCGTTATACAACGCTGCACGTTCTGCACGTGTAATACAGTGCCATATACGCTACACGTGTATGCGATACACGCAGCAGATGTAATACACATCGTGCTGATTACATAAATACGCACGTATACTTAGTCACGCACGTAGACGTTTCAGCAGATACAGCGCGTATATTAACTAAACTATTGTATTATGTTGTACCAGTGGGTAGAGGCCCCACTGTGCTGTATCGCTCTTCATCAGAAGCTTCAGTTTCAGTTTTCATTTTCATTTATTTGGTATAGCCCTGTGAGCCATTCGCCTTTTGAATCGGGTGCAACCGCAACAAACAAAAAACATGAACAAGAAAACATCTTGAAGTGACTAGGTGACTGTGCAAATAGAAAATCCAGAGAAAAAAACTGCAAAATATTCCTGAAAAAGCACCGTACACCAACGCTGGCAATCACAAATGAAAGCTCAACGAAGTGACTCATCATGTATCCATTATAGAGGGTTTTTTGGGGGGTTATATCGCGCTGAGTGGCACAACGCGTGGCGTGCAGTGCCGACCCCTACAGGATAGGGTGTGAGAGTGCCGGCCATGGGAATGGGGTTACTAAGGGCCATGGCACTTTGGTTGGCCCCGGAGGACACGTGACCGGTTAAGTCTACACAGGGCCCCCAAGTGGGGGCTAGGGGTAGTCACGTGTCAGGGCCGAGATCCTGCTCGAAATATGAGTGTGTCGTTGAACCCACCACCACCCGACATGCATTTAGTAAAGGTTTGTCACGTAAACAGAACATGGACAATTCGTTACTAGTTCAGCACACCGGTGTGTTGGAGAGTAAGGCCACAACATTTACAATTGTGCAAAATTCATAGCAGCCAAATACTCTAAACATAAGCATACATTGCACGCTAACCCCTATAAGAAATACACAACTAATATATCTACATAATTATGTACAGTGCACGGATAACCCACATACACAAACATGGTATACACACAGCATGATAACCACGCGTATGTTAGCGGAGAGTGCATTGTTACTATTCACACACGTGCAGCGTAGCTACGTGCTGTTAGTGAGGGGGGTGATGTGGCCACGTACCACGCCCGGCCGCCTTTGTCTCTCGCCACTGCTCATGTTTTACACATCGCACCTGGTTACTCGTTTCAAGGCCGAGTCGAGCTAAAGGAGCCCCCC